TCCCCTAGTCCATTCTAGGACCCCTCCCCTTGCTGCCTTTAGGGGGTATCTTACTTTAGGGTAGCTGTCTAGTCATTCCCATCAGGGGCAGGGCTTGGGCTGTACCCTTAGGTGTACAAGCTGAGCTGCCCGGTCTAGTGTAGACCTGGACTTAGTGTATTTTTACTTAGTGTATATTAACTGGTGTGTTTTGTTTCTTTTGGTTAAATAACTTACTTTATTATGTCTGTTTTCACTTGCAATCACTTAAATCCTACTTTTTATATGTAATAAGGCCATTTTTGTTTATTATCAAATCCAGTGTTCTAATTGCTACCTGGAGGGAAAACAGCTGTGTTAATCTCTTTCATTGATAAAAGGGGAAATGTCCTTACAAACTTTCTCTGTGTAAAAACTTTTAAACAAAGAAAGATGGATTTATTTGGGATTCTAGTCCCTTTTGAGGATTGTGTTCCTGGATGCTGTCAAGGCCCTAGAGCTGAGCCCTCTCACAGCTGACCTGTTACACCATGGCTGCGTCTAGACTAGCATGATTTTGCGGAAATACTTTTAATGGAAAAGTTTTTCTGTTAAAAGTATTTCTGCAAAAGAGCATCTAGCTTGGAAAGGATGCTTTTGCGCAAAAGTGCTTTTGCACAAAAGCATACATGCCCAGTATAGATGCGCTTTTGCGCAAGAAAGCTCGGATGACCATTTTAGCCATCGGGCTTTCTTGCGCAAAAAATTAAGGTGCCTGTGTACACTGGCCCTCTTGCGCAAGTATTCTTGCACAAGAGGGCTTATCCCTGAGTGGGACCATCAAAGTATTTGCTCAAGAAGTACTGAATTCTTACATTAGAACACCAGTGCTCTTGCACAAATTCAAGCGGCCAGTGTAGACAGCTGGCAAGTTTTTGCGCAAAATCTTGCCAGTCTAGACGCACCCATGCATCTGTGTTGCTCTGAGGGCTGTCATCTCAACTCTGTGTCTTGGTTGAAGCAAACTGGGTGGGGGACACCCCAGAGGGCAGGTAGGCAGGCTCTGTGACATGATCAGCACACCAGGTGACAGTCTCAAAGGGATCTCTGTGATAAAACCTGTCACACATATCACATACAATTCTTCCTGGCCATGTGACATCTGCAATCAGCAGAGAAGCTGAGACTAGCTCGCCTTCTTAAAAAGGAAAATGGCTGGTGGAGAGAACTCTAAATTTCCTGCAGCTTTTGGTTACCCTCCTGACCTAGGTCTTAAATAGCCTGGATTGTCAAACTTTCAGAGCATGACATAGAACTGGTTAATATATTGAGAGGCGATCAGACACAAAGACTGAAATTTGTATTTGATTGTGTATTTTGAAATAACTGTCAAGGTGCTCACAGCTCACATATGGGCACATTGTACTGCTGAAGCTGGAGATAAATACATTTTAACAAATATAGTCTTGCTTTCTTAGCAAGACAAGGTGGGTGAGGCAACATCTTTTATTGAACCAACTTTTGTGGGTGAAAGAGACAAGCTTTCACGCTCTCACAGCAGTCTTCTGCAGCTAGTGTTCAAGATCTGAAAAAGAGCTCTTGAAATCTTGTCTCTTTCACCAACAAAAGATGGTTCAATAAAAGATGTCACTTTACATACCTTGTCTCTATAATATCCTGGGATCAATGCAGCTTCAACAACTTCTCCCTTTCCTGTCAATTTTAATAGAAGCATACAGAAATCAATGTAAACTTACCCCTTTCCATCTGTAGTTCATCTAAAAAGAAAGTACACCATTTTCATTGTTAATAATCAAATTATTTAAAAGGGATGAGTGAGAATTAGGATAGGGGTTTGTTCTCTTTGATTAGAAAAAGACTGCAGAAAATTTGAGTTATAAAATACCTTATTAGGCTGATACTTTTAGGATGGATATAAGAACTTTTTTTATGTTTTCTTGGACATTATGGAAGTTATATAGGGATGGATTTAGCCACAGCTGTGCAGTGGATTTTTCTGTGAGGGAGCACCGGTTTGGTCAACAAACATAAAGCACATGTACCTTCACTATATGCTCCATTCTTTTCTGCAGGAGTAGAAACCTACATAAAACATACCCATTTCCAGCCGTAGCTGATCTGTAAAGAAATAACAGATTGAGTAATGAAATAATTTTTCTCCTGTTCTAAGAGACATGTCTTAACTGAAGTTATTTGTTTACAGAAAGGGGCTATAAATAAACAGCAGGAAGTATGCAAGACAGCAGGATTCTAGATAGGAAAGAATTAGATCTTCCTCCATCTCCCACTTAACACAATTTCGCAGTTTTCAAAATGCATTTGTTTCCTATTGTTGTTGTTCTTGTTGTTGTTATTATTATTATTATTATTATTATTATTATTATTATTATTAAGAAGGAAGAAAGTTTCGAGGGCTGAAATCTGCACTAGATTCAATTGCCAAGTGAATTTGTGGTCTTCAGCTCCTACAGTCTTAACTCTGGATCCACCCTCTGGTATGTGCAACTCCTAAAATTCCTTGCTATGCCTGGGACTGACTAGTTGGCTGCACTTCACTTTTCATCAGGTGTAATGCTAATTCTGAAATATTTATTTCATCAAATGATGACTTGGTATTGGTCCTGCTTTGGGCAGGGGGCTGGACTTGATGACCTTCTGAGATTTCTTCCAGCTCTATGATTCTACCTACAATGAATTATACCTTCATGGGGTTTAAGAAGAGCTGTATGATTTTTGGAACATGAACATGAACAGTCATCTCGCTCAAAAAGCAAATGCCTGTTTCCTGAGGAACACTAATGACTGAGCCATGGACTATACTAGGGCATTATTTTGAAATAACCCCCCAAGTTTGAATTTATATATGGAGCATCCTCAGTACCAAGCCCATTATTTTATAATGGTCTGTGGAATTCAAACTCTGTACTTCTGCTTTTCATCAAGTATAATGCTAATTCTGAAATATTTATTTTGAAATAATGGTAGTGTGGACACTGCAGTGTCACTATTTTGAAATAATTCCTCCCCAGAGTATCATAGAATCATAGAATACTAGGACTGGAAGGGACCTCGAGAGGTAATCAAGTCCAGTCCCCTGCCCCCATGGCAGGACCAAATACTGTCTAGACCATCCCTGATAGACATTTCTCTAACCTACTTTTAAATATCTCCAGAGATGGGGATTCCACAACCTCCCTGGGCAATTTATTCCAATGTTTGACTACCCTGACAGTTAGGAACTTTTTTCTAATGTCCAACCTAAACTTTCCTTGCTGCAGTTTAAGTTCATTTGAACTAATTACTTCCCAATGTCCAATGCTTCCTGGGGCTCTAAGTCTGAGGTAACTAGTCCACATTAACAGAGCCTGCCTCAGACTAATTTTGATACTTCCCCATATTAAGTCTATGGTAGTTCGAATTTGTTAAATCGGCCATTAAGTTGAATTTCGTAATTTCAAAATAGTTTCCTAGTATAGATATAGCCTGAAAGTCTGTGATCTTAATGCTGCTCTCATTATGTTGCTCTCATTATATTGAATAGTGAATCAGAATCAAACTCCAGGCCCTTACCTTTATATCATTCATGACTGTTAACTCAAGGCTAGGTCACAGCCTTTTTTAGGAAAAAGCTACACAAATTGCATGCCACAATTTGCGTAGCTTTTTCCGATTTCTTTTCCAGAAGAGGCCTTTCCACCATTTGGCCCCATGCAGAGGCCAAATGATGGAAAAGCCTCCCCTTTGGGAGGAGCCCTTGTTCCTCATAGACTGAAGTATACAGGGCGTCTGCTCTTCCACAAAAAAAAGCAAAAGAGCAAATGCATTCCCGGGACGCGGCAGAGTTGCATACTTTAAGCTGAGCCATCAGGTCTAGGTATCCTGGAAGAATCCCACAGTCTAAACATACCCTAATAGAATGATTCTTCTTCACAATCACCTTCCTTGGGAACTAGAGAAATGTCATTTATCTAATGATAGATGGGGCTTTTCCAGCAGCTGACACTAGAGAAAGAAGCTGCCTTCTCAAGGAGCAGGGAATATCCTCTGATTTCACGACTTCCATAGCAAGTTAAAAACACAGTCACTTAGCCTGGGTTTCCAATAGCCACAACAAAATACATGAATAGGACAGCAGAAGTAGGGAATAAGCAATCGATCTCTATATCTATATCTTTGTAGAAGTGATCATTTGAAAGGAAATTATACCCTATTACATGATATACTAAAACCTCAGTAAACCTTACATGGCCAAATTAATAAGGCAGCTCAGTAAAACAGGATATACATTTCTGAAAGAGAAAAAAAGTCTGAGAGCTGCTATTTAGAAATCATTACAAACTTACCATAATCATCGCGGGATTGATCTGCAACAGATTAAATTGGTTCAAAATGTGCATTTTATCACTGGAAATTTGGTTAGAATTACAATTGGCTGATGGAATTGTTAACTTAATGAATCTCATGATTCACTCTTATTTAATGAGAAACACATTATAGTATATTTAATTTTTAATACTTATGTTATGTTATTTTATATTATTTCACTCTCCGCCCCACTATCTCTTGTACCAATAAGAAAAATAAACTTAATTCTTCACAGAAAAAAACAACAAATGGTCCGGTTGCACTTTATAGACTAACAAAACATGTAGATGTTATCATGAGCCACAAAAGCTCATGATACCATCCACATGTTTTGTTAGTCTATAAAGTGCAACCAGACCATTTGTTGTTTTTTTCTGTAACAGACTAACTCAGCTACCCCCTGAAGCTCTTAATTCTTTACAGTGCAGAATTACTCTTTTCATAAAATCTCCATCCAGGTTCATGCTATATTTGAAATATAACTGCTTTCAGACCAATCTTGTGCAAAGTTTAGGTGAAATCCACCTTTCATAAAAAACAGGACTATGCAGCACTTTAAAGACTAACAAGATGGTTTATTAGGTGTTGAGCTTTTGTGGGCCAGACCCACTTCCTCAGATCAAATAGTGGAAGAAAATTGGCACAACCATATATACTAAAGGATACAATTAAAAAAATGAACACATATGAAAAGGACAAATCAAATTTCAGAACAGAAGGAGGATGAGGGGGGAGGTAAATGTCTGTGAGCTAATGATATTAGACGTGATAATTGGGGAAGCTATCTTTATAATGGGTAAGATAATTAAAGCTTCTCAAACCCTACGCAACCAACACCCCCATCTATCTTCGAGATACTACTGACTTCCTAAGGAAACTACAAAACATCGATAACCACCCCGATAACACGTTGCTACTATGGATGTAGAACACCATACACCAACATTCCTCATGAAGACGGATTACAAGCAATTAGAAACACTATCCCAGAGGATACCACTGCCAATCTGATAGCAGACCTATGTAACTTTGCTCTCACCCACAATTATTTCCAGTCTGAGAACAACTTATACCTCCAGATCAGCGGCACAGGCATGGGTACACGCATGTCCCCACAGTATGCTAATATCTTTATGGCTGACCTAGAACAACGTTTCCTCAACTCCCGTCCCCTTTTACCATTTCTCTACATCTTACGCTACATTTTACGCTACATCGATGACATCTTTATGATCTGGACGCATGGCCAAGAAACACTGGAGACATTCCTCAGAGATTTTAACAACCTACACCCCACCATCAGTCTCAGCCTGGACCATTCTACATGAGAGTTCCATTTTCTGGACACCACCGTACAAATCAACAATGGAAAATTAGATACCACTCTGTACAGAAAACCCACTGACTCATACAGTTACCTACATGCTTCCAGCTCCCATCCAGAACACACCATACGATCCATCATCTAAAGCCCAGACCTTTGATACAACCGCATCTGCTCTAATCCCACTGACAGAGACCAGAAACTTCAGGATCTCTACCAAGCATTTATAAACCTCAACTACCCACCCGGAGAAATAAAAAAGCAAATTGAAAGAGCCAAACGAATACCTAGAAACCATCTACTACAAGACAGACCCAAGAAAACCAACAATAGAACACCACTTGTCATCACCTACAGCTCCCAGCTTAAACCTGTCCAACACATTATCAATAAATTATAGCCTATACTGGAACAGGACACTACACCCCAAGTAGCTCTGGGAGACAGACCCATAGTCGCCTATAGACAACCACCTAACCTCAAGATGATTCTTACCAACAACCACAGGACATACCACACTAATACCAACCCTGGTACCTTCCATTGCAACAAACCCCGTTGCCAGCTTTGTCCACATATTCATTCTGCTGATACCATTATTGGACCTAACCAAGTGAGTTATAAGATCAAGAACACATATTCCTGCGCATCCAGCGTCTCAGACACTTCGCCAAAGGATCAATGCCCACAAAACAGATATTAGACAGAATCACAAAGAAAAAACAGTTTCTTGCCATTTCAACCAGAAAGGACATTGGCTCAATGACTTGATTACCTGCATCCTGCTTCAAAGACCTTTTAAGACTACACTTGAAAGAGAATCCTCTGAACTGTCATTCATGCTTAAATTCGACACTTTATGCCTAAATTTGAACAAAGACTTTAATTATCTCACCCATTACAAAGATAGCTTCCCCAATTTTCACCTCTAATATCATTAGCTTACAGACATTTACCTCCCCCGCATCCCCTTCTGTTCTGAAATTTGATTTGTCCTTTTCATATGTGTTCATTTTTTTTAAATTGTATCCTTTGGTATATATAGTTGTTACAATTTTCTTCCACTATTTGACCTGAGGAAGTGGGTCTGGCCCACGAAAGCTCATCACCTAATAAACCATTTTGTTAGTCTTTAAAGTGCTACATAGTCCTGTTTTTTGTTTCAGCTACACCAGACTAACACAGCTACATTTCTACCACCTTTCATAGTTATCTTCTTTCTGGAAACTAGCCAATTAACCTGTCATAAGGCGGGATTTTCAGGTCTCTCCTCTACTTCGATCTTCTCTCCTGAGTCTCTCGTTCCATCTCTTTCTCCCCTCCTCCTAATCCGAACTAACTACTCCGTGCCACGTGTAGCAGCGCGGCACGGGGTTCGAACTAGCCGGGATTTAAAAATGGCGGCGCCCGGCTTATGCAAATGAAGCCCGGGAAATTCAAATCCTGGGCTTCATTTGCAAGTGCAGTATGCCTACATTACCCCGCTAGTTCGAACTAGCGGGGTAGTGTAGACATACCCCTATATATATGACTGGCCAATTAGCCCATCATAAGACGGGATTTTCAGGTCTCGCCTCCACATCAGTCTTCTCTCCTGAGCCTCTGATCTCTTGCTCCGACTCTCTCTCTCCCTCCTCCCCCCCCTGCCTCTCTCTTTGTCTCTCTCTTTCTCTTCTCCTCCCTCTTCTGCCTCTCACTCGGGGGACCACGGAGCCCAAATGGTCGCTTGCTCTACTTGCTTCCATGCGGCAGCCCAGCTGAGCGGTGGAAAAGTCAGCCAAGAGCCACAGCGGGAGGCAAAGGGGAGCGGGGAGGTGACGTTCACAGCCAGGGGGCGGGACCTGGAGCTGCTGTCACGCCGCACATCACCGGCCCGCCCTCCTTCCCCTCCCGCCGTGGCGCTTGGCTGACCTCTGTGCCACTCAGCCAGGCTGCCACGGAGAGCCAATGGCCGTTTGGACCCCACACTCCCCGTGCAGCACAGGCCACCCAGAGGGAACAGCCAGCATTTCAGCAACAGCCCCACCCAGAGAGAACAGCCAGCATTTCAGGCAACAGCGCCGCTCAGGGGGAACAGCCAGCATTTCAGCGTTACAGACTCTCAGATACTGGGCTACTATATATATGATACCCAAAATAATAAGAAAAAAAAATCCTGCAATCGAATTCTTCTATGTTCTAACTGTACTGACTGCACTAGAATTTCAATAATGATGAATTTCTCCAGTGCAGTAAAATGGACTAGACCTGCTCTTTTATCAGTAAATATATAGTACACACACTACCGTCGGATGTTGTATTTAATGTTGGCATGAAAAGACTACATATATTAATTCTGACTTACCTCTTTCTCTCTTCATTTGGTCTGCAATGGAAAGATACAGTGTTAAATAAATACATGTATTTGCTCACTTATGTAAATAATTATTCTCCCAGAAGATTCTGAAGAAGACTGAAGCAAAGTCTATGACTGGGAGCTAATGTCCCCAATATTTCACATTAGCACCCCATAAAATCCTGAATCAAACTTACCTTTAAGAAAGTTTTTGATATGCACACACTATGAGAAAGAATATATTTGTCTGCCTCTCAGCACAATCTCTCTTGAGGGCTCCCAGATGAACCATGGAATGTTTAATCACATCTCTTAAATTTATCAGAGTAGAAAGAATGAGGCTCCTCACTAGCAGTGAAAAGACTGAATAGCTGCCTCTGAAGCAAGCAAAGAGGCTTCATATCTCATTGGTTCCTGAGCAAATGTAGCTCCCCCATAGCCACAGCAGAAAGAAAGAAGAGGAGAGGAGAAAAAAAAGCACAAACTATATATTTTTGCAAAAAAAAAAAAAAAAGGATTAGATAGGTAGCTTATGTTAATAGCTTTCTGCACTACTTCTAAGCAGCCTCAACTCACATTTGGCCAATTCCATAAGTCTTATTCAGGTGTAATTCAAGGAAAATTTTCAAAATCACGGGCAGTTCTCTGAAAACAACTGTTTAATATGCATTAAAAGTTAAAAAAAAAAGCTAACATTGTTAGGAATCATTAAAAAAGAAATATATATATAAATATATATTACAATGCATCTATCTGTCGGTATATCTGTGGCTACAGCTACACTGTAGCCTTCTTCTGGAAAAGCTTATGCAAATGAAGTGGAATATTGCCACGCTTCATTTGCATAATTAATTAGCAGCCATTTTTGCACAAGAGGCTTTTGTGCAAAAAGCTGTGTAAACAGCACCTTTTTGTGCAAAAACTCCCTCTTGTGGAAGCGCTATTATTCCTGAAAAAATGAGGAAGAACGGCTATTGCACAAGAGGGGGTTTTTGCACAAAAAGGTGCTGTTTACACAGCTTTTTGCACAAAAGCCTCTTGTGCAAAAATGGCTGCTAATTAATTATGCAAATGAAGCGTGGCAATATTCCACTTCATTTGCATAAGCTTTTCTGGAAGAAGGCTACAATGTAGACGTAGCCTAAGAGTCCATTTGTTCAAGAAATCCTCCTAAACCGTAAAAAATAGGACTACCAAATTTGGTATGCAGCCTCCTCATATCCTAACTTAAACCAAGGCTAGGGTTTGGTTGTGCCCAGAAAACATGAAGTGCTCGGAATGAGATTATATTCCGTAGCATGGAAAAAGAGGTGGCAGAAAGAGAAGGAACATAAAAGGGAGGGGCACAAAGAGGAGGGATGTGATACTGAGAGTGGCCACTGAGGGCAGCTGGAGCACCAAGAGAGTTGTAAGCTGAGTTGGAGCTCTGCCAATTTGCCTCACTCCAAAGCTGATAAGTAGCTCTCCTGCCCCAAACCTGGAGCCTTCCTCCTCCAAGTGGAGAGCCTGCAGGATGTAGTAGGGCAGGGCCACTGGAAGCCAGAGAAAACCCCCAGATCCTTGCCTTCACCTCAACATCCTTGCAAGTTGCAGATGGGGCTGCTGGGGAGCAATCCTCAAGTCTTCTCCCTTCCAGACAGCCTGCTGGCTTTGTGGGTGAGGGGGTGTTGTTAGGGATGCAACTTCATGCACTGGGTGTTTATAAGTCTCTGTGTGGCAAACACTCAGATTGGACAACAGTGAATGGTGATCAATTGCTACCATTTGAAGGATAGTAAGTTTGATGGATCATTGGTCTGACTGAGTATGGCCATTCTTGTGTTTTTCATATTTTAGCAAAAGAGTTTTGTGTCAATAAGAACTCAGTAAAACCTGTATTTGATCCACATAATCAAATTAATTATTCATGTAGATATAAGCATTTCTGTTCTTTTCTTAGTGCCTACTACAATGTGGATTTTCAAGTGACTAATGTGTAGAACTGAAATGATAGAAATATAATTTTTTTCAATAAATCAAAGAGAAAATGAAAAAATCTGAATGCATCTGCTTAGTAATGAAGTCAAACTCACCAACCATATTCTGGAAATGTTCTGCAAAACATTAAATTTGATGAATAGACTTAGTCCATGTTAAAATACATAAATTATATTTTAAACATCTTGAATACCATAAATTAGCCACCTTCAGTGATATGCATATGCTGAAATATTTGGATTTAGTACTTTTATATCAGTAAATCTGACCAGCATTGTGATCTCTATGCTGCTCACAGTCAGCTTTTTCACTGTTTCTTTCAAGGAAAGTTGATGTCTTTCACATGAAGTGTAAGAGGTTACTGTTTTTACAGATTTGTGTAGAAGGAATCAACTTTTGTCCCTATTTTTGTGCCTATTTTTTTCCTGGTGTAATTCATGTGTGGCAAACTATTTCAAACATGAGCAATTTTCTGAACAAGGGTATAGATTTTTCAATTCCATCATATGTTCCAAGTCCCTACTAGCATGAAGTCTGCATGAATCAGTACAAACTTAACATTGCTCTGCATAGTTTATCTGCAAAACAGCAACAGAGATATAGATAATTGCGTTATTATCCCCTCATCTATAAGAAACATTTTTGGGGGACATAACTTGGGAGTTTGGTCTGACTCAAACCTATAAAATCTTGTCCACATACTATAAATGTATTTTAAATAATGTAGGAATTTTGCTGGAATAGGAGATAAAAACTTAGAAAACATGAAAAAAAAATTAAGCTTATATGTAATTTAGATTTTTTTGTTTTATTTCAAAGAATGTAAATAGCATTGACTCTGACTCAACAAGATGACATATATGGTACTGCAAGACCGTTTTAATCACAGGTTGTTACTTGTATCAATTTGACTCAAAATACAAGATTTAAAACGAGTTTCAAACTCCCTGGTAATAAGCTGTCTAATGCACACTCATGCCTACCCCATATAAGATAGATATAACACAGGAGAGGCAACTCTTTGGTCTCTCCCATCTCCAAAACAACCAATTAACTAGAATTTCAGTGCCATTATTGAACTCCTTCCACTCCTTTGTATGAGGGATGACCATTTGGAAAACTTCTGCTGCACAAGCTGTTGGGCTGCATCTTCACTGCAGGCTTCTTGTGCAATAACTGTTTTGCACAAGAGTTCTTGTGCAAAAGTTCATGCACAAGACAGCGTCCATACTGCCATGTGCGTCCACATAGCCTTGGAGTTTACCTTTTTGCCTGCCTGCAGGAAATGCCCACTTTTTGGCCCCATACAAAAGTTCCCTGTATCCCTCTATAGTCATGACTCCAGGCCCACAAGAGATACCAATTACTAGCATGAACACACCATGCTCCCACCAACATGGCAGGCTGACAAAAAAAATGAAGGATCGCCATCTGAACCTAAGGTAAAATTTTGTTAAGGACCCCTATATGACAGATTTTTCATTGATTCCAAGGCCAAAAGGAACTATTTTGATTATCTTGTCTTACAACCTGTAGACCACAGGCCAGAGAAATGACTCAAAATAATTCCAAGAGCAGAGATTTTAGAAAAAAATATCCACTCTTGATTTAGAAATTGACAGGGATGGAGAATGCACAGAATCCCTTGGTAAACTGTTCCAATGATTAATTACTCTCACCGTTGAAAATTAACTCTTTCTATAAATTTAATGAAACAAAAATAAGTTAACTTACTTTTGCTTTTTCCAAAAAAATGTTCGAAGGTCACAACAATAAACAGCACTAAACCGATTAAGAAACCTACTGAAAAACAGCATATATTACTCTAACTAGTAATGTAGCCTTGAACACCAGAGGTATTTCTAGGTTTATAGCTTTGGACCTAAACAAGGGTAAAACATTTTTTTCATTCTACTGTTGTCTCTGCACTTTGACAGAGAATAAAAGAAAATCCCTCTCTCTCAAAAAGTTTTTCCTGAAGAATGACAGAGTAACATCATCACATCACTCTGTGTCCCACCTGCCTCCTCCCTCCCTCCTTCCCCTTTCCCCAATGCTTGGCTGCCATGTGAGCCCAGAGAAGCCCCGAATGGTTCCCCTCCCCCAAACTCTGAGAGGGAGGACTGAAGCTGCAAGCCACGCAGCCCAGGAGCTGTGTGGCCTTTCCTTTCCCCTGTCCCCAGTGCTCTGAGTGGGGAAGGGGGCTGAAGCTGTGAACTGTGCAGCCTTTCCTCTCCCCTTTCTCCTGTGCTCTGGGGAGCCACCCCTCTAAGTTGATCCAGGAGAGTAAGAGCTGCACCCCTTCCCTGCACCCCAGTCCCTGACACACACCTCTAGGTTGGGGAAGAGCTAGGCTAGTCTTGCTTCAGCCCCCCTTCCTGGGGGCGAAAGCCAGGGTGGCCTTGAGCGGTGGGCAGGGGAGAAGAGTCAGGGCCAGTGTGGGGGGAAGGGGCTGGGATGGGCAAGAACTGGAGCGGCCTTGGAGCCAGGGGTAGGGGGGAAGAGCCGAGGTGGCCTTGGACCCTCTCTAGGGGAGAGAGGAAGGAGAGCCTTGGCCTAGTTCAATCCCCCAGTGGCTAGAAGGAGAAAGTCAGGATGGTTTCAGCCTGCTTGCCACTGGCAGCCATGGGGAGGAGAGAGCTGGGGCATGCCAGGGCTGCCATGCTTTGGCCTGGCCTTCTCCAACTTCACTGGAGAGAGCTAAGGCTGCCTACCCCTAGAATGAAGGTTGGCAAGCCTACCCAAGTAGGGGGTACCATCCCCTCATATATTTTATGTGGAATAACAAAGGAGGCCTGCCTTCAGAGTCTCAGGCGATTACAGCAACATCCAAAATATAATGTCCTTACTTTTCTGTTGTTAATTTCTCTATTGGACTACACTGTGAATATTTACATTAAGATTATGAATGAGCTCAAAAGCCAGTCCCGGAATGTTTTTTTCCCCTTCAAACACCGACAAAATTGTCTCATACCGAGTTACTCCATAACAAAGGGAAGGCCATATTCTATCCTGACTGGCACAAGCTGAAACACCTTTGTATGAAACTGAAGAAATCCCTCTAAAATAGAAATGCCACCCCCACCCTGGAAAGGCAATCACATCTGAGAGGATTGCAGAGTCAGTTTCCCATCAGAAACACTACATGCTGTGGTGTGATGATACTTCAAGCCCTTCATCTGTTGGATGCTCTTGAAATCTTTGGGAAATATGATGGGAGATGGGGTGTTGAACAGGTCACAGTCAGGTGTTAAGAATCTTGAAGGATAATCTCCTAATTAGTTAGGGACAAATTATTTGGGCATAGGGATGAAAATAAGATTCAGAATGTAAATATTTGTGCTGGATAGATGGTAGAATGAAGCCCCAAAACCCAAATAAAAAGGGCAGTAACATTTGGTAAGAGGTCAAATTTCTTGGACATAAAATTACATACCAAGGTGTCCATCAGTTGATTCTGTGTTGACAATGGCACAGGTAACCTCCGGAGTATCACATGGCACAGCAATGGAGCTTGCAACTGTGAAATGATTATTTTCCTCCTGCATTTCTTTTGTGTCGGCCAGTGAGTTTAGGCTTTCTCCTTTGTGATTTCTCCAGGAGAATCTGGGCTTTGGATACCACCCTGTCCACTTACATTCATATCCACAAATCTTCTGCTGATGCACTTGCAAAGACGTTTCATTCCCTACCCCAATAAGAAAGGTAGAATTATAACATGAACTCATGTCTGACAATGCAGAGACATACTCAGAAAGCATTCAGTGTAAAAAAAATTTATGGGGCATCTGCACCTTTGTTCACTATTTCTCTTCATAGCAGAGTGTATGTTTTGGTAAATTTGATAGAAGAAAAAAATAGTGGAAAAAATAGTTTGGAGCAGGGGATTGGCCTAGATGACCTCCTAACCTTCCAGACCCAATCTTCTATGATTCTCCTCCAGCATTGTTTCTGTTTTCAGAAACACATCTGATCTGATCTGCCTGAACAAGCTGAATGGTCAAGTGTTACTTTCATTAACACATGTATAACTTCAGATAAGTTAATGGGGGCTTAATGGTAGGCAGAATTTGCCCTGAATGTTTTCATTGAGCTGAATGTGTGCCACTGGGAATAATTCAGCAAAAGGTCACATGTAGGACTTACTTTGTGTCACGAGTGGATATAATTGCCAGCTTCTGCTCATAGATGAATACATTATGATAACAGGATAGCAGGAAAACAGAATTTATGGAATTGCCACAGAACTCTATTTGCAAAAAAAATTGACTCTAATCCTCTGTACATGTCTGTAAATTATGCTAAGGTGACAGAATCTTCTATCAGTTCTAAACCTCTCCTGAAGCCTTCTCCTTCCAAGTGCCTCAAGACTAGCATATCTCAATTATCTTCTTATTACGAATTTATAATTCATACACTATGAGGAAACTACAATTGCATCATAACTCATTTGCTATTCTAAGTCTTTGATTTTGTGAATTTGCTTTTGTATCTTTTATATATCATCCAGAGCCATCAGTAAGTAGACAAGTGAGTTCCAGTTTGCAGATTCAGAAAACATGTTACCTGCATGGAGAAAAACACTTGTAAATCAGCTAGATTCCAGTAGGGAAGAGATGGAAAGAGAGTGGAGAAAGCGGGGGTAACAGCACAGGTGGATGGAATCGGGGCTCTTCCTTTGCTGGTTGCTCTTCTGTTTGTATTGATCTGCCTGTCCAAACATATCATGTGTCTGTATTGACTGAAACTGATGACCAAACTTGGTTCTTTTCAGGACTAGTGTACACTAGCCCAGAGATTTCAGTAGTGCCCTGGAATCTTTTAGTGTTGGCAGTGCTTTGCCCATCTTCAAAGAAAATGAAATATTATACATGAAGGGGAGTTCTTCAATGGGGTCTTGAACTTCCACAGGAATCTCCAAAGACTGAAGCCATGAGGAACACTGTATAGAAACGTCATCACAAAACCACTGGCAGCTGACATGGCCACAACAGACATGCAGACCTTGCTACCAGTTGATCTTTCTCAAGAAGGGAGTGGGACTCATCCTTGGAGTCCTCTTGCAGAATGATGAGCAATTTGATCAAATCATCCCAGTTCAAATAATCGCAACCAGATACTAGAACCTGACAATGTGCTAATGTTGATGTAATTCTGCAGTTGAAGAAATGTATCAAAAAGGACCAATTTAAAAATCTCTTTCTTTAGGAGGAACTTTTGTATTCCTTCACAGTATCTTTTATTTGCTGTTACTACCAGGGAGCTTTGTGTGGGGTGCTGATAAAACTCTTCATAGTACTGTGATGGAACTTGGTACTTGCACTGCATATACTTTTGACACTGGCTTAAGAGATAATGGCATTTGCCAAAAGACCTGTATAGGTTGAACAATTGCCTCAACTATAGGAAAAGCATCTGTCCCTGTCATAGCAGAGTGTAAAATGCCTATAAGTCTCTGGGGATTTTCCATGACAAGCTCTATATATATCCCTAGGGACATAGTCACACTTTTCAGGAGTTCCTGGAAGGGGTTAGGATAATCCAGAACTGTAGAAGATAACTCTAATACAGAGACTTATCTTGTAAAGAAGACAAAAGGAGGCATAACAAATGATATTAAAAGGCAATAACAATAACTACTCATTATAGTAGCACATTCACAGATAGAATGAGCTGACAGCATGCTCCCACTGTCATCCCTGCACAGTAAAAGAGAACTAAGAAATGGGTGGGTTGGCTCTACTTCCCTCCTTAGATACAGTCATTCCATAAAAATCTTTTATAGACAGCAAAAGAAAAATAGCTGATTATGGCTCATGAAAATTTCCTCATACAAGGATGGCATAAGTCAAACATTGCTCTAGAACTTCCTTTTCAGGTAAAAAAGTATTTTATAAAAATATCTTAAAATTGATCAGAAGTCTATAAAAAAGAAAGATTGGCTTATGGTCAAAGCTTCCATTGGACTGAGGGTGCAGATGTTCTGGGCTCAATTCTTGGTTTCGCCACAGAGTGCAACCTAAAGCAAGTCACTAATTTCGTTGTTCTTTAGTTCCCTTTCTATAAAATGTGAATTAGAACACTTCCTTTCTTTCACCTTTCACTAAATGTGTCTTAGCTATATGATTATAAACTTTTGGGGGCAGAGACTGTCCCAATAAAAAATAACAAAGTAGAGTTATTGGGTAAAATTTTCAAAAGCATTTCAGTCCCACTTTCAAAGGTGATATATGCACTTCTGAGCTTAGGGCTGGTCTGCCCTTAAAACAGTGGATTGGTGCAACTAGTCTGATGCAGCTTTCTTCTTAGAATGCTAAGAAACTCTGGTAACATAAATAATGTTTTTAAAAGGCTTATAAAAATAGAATTAATTGCATTCTAACATTCCTTCAATGTTTGATAAATTGAAGAACTGGCATTTCAAAGGAAAATAAATGGGAGAGTGATTATTATTGGAATATTTCACAACAGCAGTCTGAAATCATTTCTGAAATAAGGAAACAGATCTCACAGTGAGATCCAATGTACTAAGTAATAGCTTCCCAACTGAAGAAGTGGAACATACGGACGTTTCAGATAAGAGGTATGCTTAGTCCAGTATCATGTCTTTCAATAGTGGCTGGTGCCAAGGGAATGAACAAAACTGGGCAATTTATCAGCATCCCCTATCATCCAGCTTCTAGCAGTGATCAAAGCCAGGTGCCCCAGAGTCAATGAACAGTACAGGTAAACATGAAGTGATCCATTTCCTGTCACTCATTCCCAACTTCTGGAAAATCTATTGTTTAGGAGTTTGTAAACAGTAATAGGCAAAGCAATAGGAAATGTGCTGTAGAGAAAGGATGAGCCCACACTGACTCTTTAGGATATAAAACAATAGTTTTGCTTTGTTAAATCTGGTCTCTCCAAGTCTAGATATTTCTTACCACCAAATACAACTTCAATGATGATCTCTCTGTGAAAAATGTTGGATGTGGCAGAACATATGTATTTTCCTGTATCTTCCACCTGAATATTGTTCAATTTCAGAGAAATATTTCCTTTCCCAAATTCTTTTCCTTTAAAAACTTCTGCCTTTTTTTCATACTCCTTCCTGAGCCATTCTCTGCTATTGCTTCCATTTGGAGATAAATAACCCATTGGGCATTTGTCATCCTCTGGATAAGAATTAATCAGGGGGCTGCTTTCATCATAGAGGTAGAAATAGATTGTCTTATCCTCCCCAGATTCAACTTTCCTCCATTGCAGTTCCATGCTAGGGGGCACATGTTTTGTAATCAGCCGGCAGGGAAGAATGATATTTTCTCCAATTACAGCAGTAATCGTCTCATGTTCAGCCTCCACATCAAAGAAATCTGAAAAATGTGCAGGGGGTTATATCTGCACCAGCAGCACTCACTGACTTATATTAATTTGTAAGAGAGAATAGAAAAGAGCATAGACCTAATTATCCTCTTATTTATACTGCTTTTACAATAGTGTAAATCCATTACATTCAGGGACTTCACTCCTAATGTACACACAGAAAAGTGAAAGGAGAAGCAGAGCTATGTCATCTTTCACATCTATGAAGAGGATCTCAAGAATGTTATTTGAAAAGAAGCGCTGAGTTGTATAGTTCTTCTGATTCACTGTGCTGCACCCTGACCCTGTCTACACAGTGGGGTAATGCGCATCACAGGAGTGTGATTACTACGAACATCAACATGTTGAGCATTAACTGGTCTGCCTAGACCTTGCTGATGAACCCTAACAGTTCCCTATTGAGCTTTCCTGTATTGTTATTTCAAAGGGAACCCTTAGTGAGCACCAGCTGGGTGTCTACATTGACTAATTAATGTGGAACCTGTTAATGTGCTTTAGAATTCACACTCCAGTCATGTGTGTTGGTGTACCACATAGTCAAGCATGTTGGCCACAAAGCAAGTGTGTTTAGTTCTATATTGTAAGTCAGACAGGAATGTTTGCTTTGGCACTACTGCATCTCTTACCTGAAATTGCAATAACATTTTCACGGTGCTTCTTCAGCAAGGGATTTATTACAGTGCATGAGATAATGTCTGAAGCAATATCTGCTACCCTGAGAGTACTGTCGATTTCATACAGCTCTGTCACTGATTTCTGGATTCTTGTTTCAGCCATAGTACTTATATTTTGTCCTGTGCTGTCAGTCCAAAGTACTTCAGGGAGTGGGTACCACCCATGAGATGTACACCTCAGAGTGGTTGAATTATTCTGCTGCTGTTCTATAATTAGGCGAGGTGTAGATCCAAAACCTAGAGTGAAAACCAGTTTCAGATGTTAAACAGGCTGATGAACTAGCTTACACACCAAACAAAAGAGGTAGATGTGTTAGTCTGTTTCTGCAAAAATAATGAAGGGTCCTTTATTTTTACCCACACAAAAAGTGCAACTTATGAATGAGCACCATTATCATTGCAGTCTCCATGTCCTATTGAATCTACACTGAACTGCAATCTAGCATTTCCAGGTATCGTAAATTTATAGAGTTTTTCCACCTCAAGAAATCACCAAATACTTTACTATGGGGATGGCAGCAGGTCAGTAGGAAAGAGGCAATCCACTTTTGTGCTTCCTGTATTTGGGACACATTCAGGGGCCCTCGTAGGACCCAAAGTAAGTCAGAGCAATCTTAGGGCTATTCTGACTTATACTTACCATGGTCCCTTGTTAGCCCTTGGCCCGCCCCCCCAGCCATACCCCTATCAGCCTGTTTTCTCATTTCAACAACCATGACAAGCTCTTTATACCATGTTCAGAAGCAATGCTATTACAGAGCTCTTAAATCAGTGGTCCCCAACCTTTTGGGGCTGCCGGGCACCCAAGGGCAGGGCCGCTAACGCGCCTGGGGGCAGGGCCATCCATACGCTGTGTGCCCAGAGCTGGCGCCACCCATACGCCGCATGCCCGGGGCCGGAACAGCCCATGTCCTGTGAGCCCGGGGGCAGGACTGCCACCGCCCATGCGCTGCGTGCCCAAAGCTGGAGCCTGTGCCACATGCCCAGGAGCCGGCAGCACCCATGCACTGCGCACCCAGTGGCAGGGCCGTCCCCGATCACTCGGCGGGTGCACAGAAATGGCCCGGGGGGTGCCATGGTGCCCGCGGGCACCACGTTGGGGACCACTGTCTTAAATCATCTCTACACTTCTCTGTAAAAGGGGTAACATCAGTGTTTTATTTCCATGTAAAAGAGCCTTTGGTATAACTGAAAACCAGGTGCAGTGTGTAGAAACCCTGGAGGACAGTGACCTCACAGGTCCTCAGGCCAGGTCTATACTAGACCCAGCAGCTCAGCTTAAGGTTTAACTCCATCTATGTAGGATATGTAGCTGGAGTCAGCTTACCTTTAGCTGAGTGTGGTGGCTTTCCCACAGTGGGAGGCTGACAGGAGCAAGCATTCCAGTTGGCTTCCCTTCCTCCTCACCAAAGGAGGAGTACCAGAGGCCAGTGGGGGTGCCCTCTGAATTTGATTTTGTGAGCCTTAACTATACTTGCTAAATTGAACTCTGGAAGATCGATTGCACAAGCATCAAACTTCCTTTTAGTGTAGATAAGACCTCAGGACTCTAACGTACTGCCTAGATGCATACATGTGCACTTGGGAGGTAATGGCCCAGCCTTGCCACTGCAATTTATTCATTTTATTGTGGTTGTGCAAAGTAGCACACATAACTCAGGCAAATGCCACCATTAAAAAGTCTGAGAAAAATGTACATAATGTATGTATGTTGTGTGCATATACTACGTATAATTTGAATATACTATGTGAGCTGGACACCAAACTATAGAAGCATCCATGACTCCAAGATCAGCACTACTCCCCGCTTCCTTCCCAGACCATCAGTTCCTCTGCCCACCTCCCACATGGGTGTTTGTCCATAAAAGATTCTATTTCTCCTACCCCTGCCAGTTGTTGAACCCTCCCTGGTGAGAGGGAAGGTTAAATGGAAATACAGCTGGTCACTCACAGTGCAAAGCAATAGGGAATCAGAGTCACTGTGATAAGTGCAGCATTGTTCACTGCCAGCAGTGTATGAACATCTGTATGAACATCTCCATGCTTACCTGCAATAATCACCTCTGCAATGGCTTCTTGATAGACATTGTCACCTGTCACTGCACACACGTACTGCCCTCTGTCTTCTGCTTGCACTGGAAATAGTCTCACCTTAACGATTCCATTCTCATACCATCCTTTGGGAGTGATACTCCTGTGCTCATCCCAAGCCCTAACCAGTTCACTCCCATTTGATGTGCTATTGTAAAAATATAATGTCATATTTTTGTTCCTTTCCCACTTATACCAATGTACTTGAAAGTTAGTGGGGATCTTGCCTATGAGGTGGCAGGACAACATCAGACCTTGCCCAATCAAGGGAACTTCAGGATCAGCATGTACAGTGACAGTAAAACCATCTGCAAGAAAGAAAATAAATCATGATCGTGGATTTTCTTCAAAAGTTTGACGCTATGTACAGATTTGAGCAAGAGGTGGTGCAGACTGAATTTTTCAGGGATACGTGCAGGATGAATAGTCCCTCCCAATATTCCAGGCACAGCAGGAGCTTGTACCACCATTGACAGTATTACAACGTTTAGCGCTCACCAGCTTAAGGAGGAGGACAACAAAGCAAGTGCTAGACTTGGCAGAATTCAATGTTTTAAATAATGTTGATAGATAATTGACATGTTTATTTTTAATCATTTTCTTCTATTTTTATTGAAATGTGCAGAGTTTTGCAGACTTGTAGATTTGATTTTTTTTAAATTTGTATTCATTTAAATATTCACAGTTGCAGAAAATTACAGAGGAACACCTGGGGGTGGTTCACACCATTATTTAATGAGAGTAGATTCTGGGATTCAAAAAGTTAAAGCTTATAAGCATTGAAACACATTCTGTCAACAGCTTATATCAAAAGTTTAGCTTGAAATCAAACCCTAATTTCTTACTTTCCATCTCTGAATATTTAGCAGAAAAGTATATATTTTTCATCACTCAGTACAGTGTTATCAACATTTACTGATAAAACTCTCATCCTAGTTATTGTCCTGCTTTCTTCCTATTTGGGCATCTCTAAAAAGTAGCATGAAGAATATCCTGAGAGCAGGAAAAACATTTGTACCTAGTCACTATCCTATGAAATGTGTGTGTGTGTGTGTGAGAGAGAGAGAGCACGTATGTATGCAAGAATTTTTCTGTTACTTTGGCTCACTACCAATCAGTTAAAGCGACAAGGAGTCCTAAAGCACCTTATAGACTAACAGTTGTATTGGAGCATAAGCTTTCATGGGCAAAGACCCTCTTCATCAGATGCATGTCCTGCATCTGATGAAGTGGGTCTTTGCCCACGAAAGCTTATGCTCCAATACATCTGTTAGTCTATAAGGTGCTACAGGACTCCTTGTTGATTTTGCAGATCCAGATTAACATGGTTTCCCCTCTGATACTTAATACCAATCAGTTGTAAGCTCTCCCGGTAGAGTAAATGTCCCATTAAGAAGTATCTACATATAATTGTGCTTTCATCCTGAAATATGATCTTCTGTAATTTTGCATAGATTGAGGAGGGTGACTAATGGGAATGTATACATTGTGTTCAGACAGGGAGTGTGTATGGTTGCTCTCTCTGCTTAATGAAGAGAGTCACTGAGACTTTATACACACCTGAGATCTTGTAAAAACAATCAGGGAGACTCCACAACACAATGATGTTAATCCCAGATCACTGCCATTAGAGCTCCCAAATTTTGTTTGGGTTTTCCTTTTCAGAATACATCATGGTTTCATGACATGGATTACATGGTAGCAATGGATATATTTATTTTCTGATCAGTAGTTAGGACAAAATGGTGTTCTTACCCAAAAGCCATTTCCCAATTATATAAAAAAATGGAAGGGTGACGAGAAGGGTGATTGATTTGATCCACATAGTCATCATAAAGTACTTGTAATATCATCCATCCAACTCTCTGCCAATGGAAATACAAAACACAAAATCTAGCATGAGGTATACACACAACTAGAGCTGGTCAGAAATTCTTCTGCAGTGGGGCTGCATCAGAAAATGTTCATATGACAAAACCAAAACATTTCAACAGAACACTTGGCTTGTTTCAGCGGAGTCTAGCCCTCCAGGATCCATGGCTCCAGGAATCACACAGATGGTCCAGCACCTTGGACCCAGTCTTTTAGGATTTGTATCAGAAGACTCCTCAAACTTTGGAGGATCCCCCCACCCTCCCAATTCAGCCCAGAGAAGTTCCAGGAATTGAGAACAGCCAGCTGTTTCTCATGTTGAGAAAACTGAATTGAAACTATTTTATTTTTCAGGAAAAGAAAGGATTTTTAATAATTTCCTATATGTGAGACATTTCAAACTTTGCAGCTTTTTCAAAATTTCAGAATTTATAATAGAATGGAAATGGTGAGTTTTGCTAGCTGTATACAAAATTAATTGTATATGGGCACTTCTACTTTCCTGAACAGAAAACACTATGCAAAAATTATCTTCTGTGATAACAAATTGAGAGAAGAGAAGATAATACATTTGACATTTAGTTAACCTGGCAAACTTTCACCTATCAGGGGCTGTATGAATCAAGAGGAGCCCAGACTTTAAATGACAAAGTCAGTACCATTCAGTGAATCATCTGGACTATATGAAATGGCTAATTGTCCCAGCCACATTTCTAATACAAAATTATTCTAATGAGAAAGTAAAAACCAAATTGGAAGTAAGCTGGTCCTTTGTGAAACTGACATGAGATTCCACAAGTAGACTCTCTAGATATTGGTTGGGAGATTTACGCTTCTTTTACTATTTCTGCTTATAAAATCTTATAAAAGAATTTAGTCTCCATTGATCTCAAACTGACCTTTTTGTTGGTGGGTATTCTATCCCTGCTCTGCCTCAAAACCTTGCCCATTCTCTGCCTCTCTCCTACCGATGCTCTGTACCCTCCCCAGAAGTCTGTCTAGTCACCACTCACTCCTTTCTACCCCCTCCCCAACCCCCTCCCACCTACCACGCCTTTCTGCCCCCTCCTCCATTAAGGGTGAGTGATGGGAGAGAGGCATAGAGGAGTGATTGGTAGGGATCTGTGGAGAGACGTAGAGCAGGGGCAGAAAGAGGAACAGCTTGGGTGGGGCCGTGGAGGACAGGACAGAGTGTGGGCAGCACCATAGTCTATAGTTTAAGTACTAACACACACACACACACACACACACACCCTCCTATTTTTTTGCCATTGATGTGTGAGCCCTGGAGCATCCATAGTATTACCGCTTCAATGGGAACTTTTCACAAACATAAAAATCATTGGAAAGAAAAAATTCTAATTGAAACTCACCTTGTAGTGTCTTGTAAATGTGCTGTATGTTGCCTAGAAATGCTGATTCAGTTGCTGCTCAGATGACATCCATGCCTCTTGTACAAAACCCTATTTTAAAACAGAGAGTGTGGTAGAAGTAAGCAGTGACAGTCCCCAGGACTGAAAAAGTCCCTGTAGTAACCATTGATGTACAGCAACTCCAGTATTTATCATCCCAACAGGCTTTATGAACTCAAATATCAGTCACTTACTTGTACAAAGTCCAGCACTGCTAGAACAGGAATGTAACAGTCCATTCATCTGAGACTCTTGCAGGATTTCTGTAGACAAGCCTTGGTTTAAAAAAATGTAATAAGACATTAGGGTTAATACACTGACCATGACAAGACCATACAACAGTGTAGATCTGATTCATGTCACATCCAGTAGATCAGTGGTCCCCATCTCGATGCCTGCAGGCGCCATGGTGCCCATTGGGGTATTTATGTGCACCAGCTGAATGATTTGGGGGGTGCATGGGCAGCCCCTGCCCCGGGCATGCGGCTCATGCACAGTGCCGGCCCTGAGCACGTGGCACAAGGGCAGCTCCGCCCCCGGATGCACGGCGGGTGAGCGACCCTGCCCCCAGGCACCCGGCAGCCCCAAAAGGTTGGGGACCACTGCAGTAGATGTTACTCCTTCCCACTGCGATACAGTAGCCAGTTGTGTTATCTAGCTGGGCACCTTCGACCTTCCTGTTTCCAGTTTCCCACAGTAAGCAAAGCTCTTTTGTGCAACACCCACAGAGCTGCTATTAGTGAAACGTAAAAGGGCCGAATGGAGACGTTCATTTCTCCCCCACCCTGCGCCTCCAGGCCAGCAGAGTTATCAGCCCCTCCCTCGCATCACCCAGTGCTGGACTGAGGCAATGTCCCCTCCACTCATAACCCCGAGGGCTGGGCAGAGTTGCCAGCCCCTTCCCTCCTGTCACCTCAGTGCAGGGCTAACACCCGCCCCTCCCTCATCACCTCCAGGGCTGGGCTGAGACACCAGCCCCTCCCCTGACCAACTGCCATTTCCCAACTGCCATGGAACCATGCAGTGTCTTTGGGCTGGTTCCACCCACTGCTGTGCTCTGAGTCCCACAGGCTGCTTTTCAATGCAAACTTCATTGTTAACTCTGTGGGATATGGATATTATAGCTATCTCGTGGCAAAGCCCTTGCACAAGCCCCTCACCTTGGGACCCCCGCTTCAGCCACAAATCACCCAGAGACCCTCTCTCATGCAATCACTCACGTCTTTTTATTGCCGGTGCCCACTTCCCACCACCTTCCATTGGCAGAGCTTTTTCCAAGAGCTAAGTTAGCTAGCCCCTCTAGCTGACTGCAGAGCACACTCTGGCTCCTTTCCCTTCCATTTCCTGGGGTATGTCTACACTGCATTCCTCTTTTGAGAGAGGAATGCAAATGTAGATATCTGAAATTGCAAATGAAGTGGGGATTTAAATATTTTATGAGGAGTAAGGATTATTTTGGAAGAAGGGTTTTCTCTTAAATATCCACGTCTTAATAGCATTTTTTATTTTGAAATAGCGCCTGTCTGCAATTATGCAAATGAAACACGGGATATTTAAATCCCCGCTTCATCTGTAATTTCGGATGTCTACATACCCCTGGATTCCTCATTTATCTCTCTAGCTAATGAGGCCACAGATGTTTCCCATTAGCCCCCTCAGGCATGGGCCTGCTCAGTTGGCCTCAATTGCTTTGATAACAAAAGGAGGGTAATTTTGGTTACAACTTGCCTCCCTAGGAAAAAAAAATAGTGAAGTGCCTCTGCTTCCCCTTTGCATTACTGAGTTACGTGCACATCTGCAACCTCCTCCTTATTATACTCAGTTACTCTGTAATTCCGAGCAACCAAGTATGCTTTATCAAGTATATCTTTCTGTTTTGTTAATAGAATCATCCTTTTTAAGGCAATGATTTTATTCTTCTGTCCTAGAAAGAAGCAGAAGATCTGTCTGAGTGCATATCTCCCTAGCCTGAGTGGTCAGCTATTAAAGACACAGTTTGTTTTCTTTTTGTTTCTTTTTTCAAGGTCTTTTATGGCAGAAAAGCTTAGGGTACCCCATGTGGATGGAAGTCCAAGTGCTTTCTTCCTGGGTTCAAGAAGAAAGGGGTGTTTCAGTTGGTGGTGTCAGCTACCACCTCTAAAAATGTAATTCTGGGGAGTTTTTGTAAGCAGAGCCTATAGAGGCAAGGTATTTAAGGTCTCTTCTGGGCCCCCATTTTCTTCACTCAGAGTGCCAGAGTGGGGAACAGCCCTGACAGAAAGCTAATGGCATACTGCGGTGCATTAGTAGAAGCATTGCCAGCAGATCTAAACAAGTGATGGTTCCCTTTTTGTGGAGGGGGGGGGGGGGAGTTCTCACTGGTAAGGCTACATGTGGAATATTGCATTCAGTTCTGGATCCTTCATTACAGAAAGGATGTGGATACACTGGAGAAAGCCCAATGTAGGGCGACCAAAATTATTAGGAAGCTGAAACACAAGACCTATGAGAAGAGGCTGAGGGATTTGGCCTTATTTAGTCTGCAGAAGAGAAGAGTGAAGGGGGATTTGATAGCAGCTTTCAACTACCTAAAAGGGGTTCCAAGAGAATGGAGAGAGGCTGTTCTCAGGCTATGTCTTCATTACAGGGGTTTTCCAGGATACCAGAGGTATCCCAGTAAAACTCCATAGTATCCAGGGAACACATCTGTTCTTCTGTTTGCTTTTGTTTTTATTTTTGTTTTTTTGCAGAAGAGCAGACACACTCCTTAGAAAACCTGTCTTCTTCCTCCCACCAGGAAAGAAGGGCTTTTCTAAAAGAGGATGCTTTTCCAAAATTTGGTCCAGTGTAGATGGGCCAAATTTCAGAAAAGCCTCTTCCAAAAAAACCATTGGAAAAAGGTACACAAATTGTGGAATGCAATTTACGTATCTTTTCTTGATAGACCCTTGTATTGTAGACATAGCCTCAGTAGTGACAGGTGGCAGAATGAGGTGCATAAGTCTCCAGTTACAGTGGGGGAGTTCTAGGTTGGATATTAGAAAAAAACTATTTCCCTAGTAGAGTGGTGAAGCACTGGAATGGGTTACCTAGGGAGGTGGTGGAATCTCCTAGGGATTTATAAGTCACAGCTTGACAAAGCCCTTGCTGAGATGATTTAATTGGGCTTGGTCCTGCTTTTAGCAGGGGGTTGGACTCAATGACCTTCCAGACTTAGGACTCTGTGATTCAATGATTTCTGGGTAATTTGTTCCAATTATTAGCTGCCCTCACTATTAAAAACGTGCAGCTTATATCCATTCTGAATTTGTCCAGCTTAAATACTAGGCAATAGATTTCATGATTTATTAATACTAAATTAAAGAGCCATCATGTAGGTGCTTGAAGACTGTGATCAAGTGACCTCTTTCCAACTACTGCCCTCTATGCCACTCATCAGGCGGTATGCTAGGTTATGGAAAGATATTTATGCAATAACAATTATTGCAATTGGAATACATAGTAATGTCCTGCTTGGTAACTGGGGTGCTATGCAAGAAGAACATTTATCCTGTGCTCTAACAACCTGACATTTTGATTTCCAAGATAAGTTTAATATGTTCATTTTGAGCTGGGTTTTTTGGGAGTGGCCCATGCATCAGTCACAGGACTATTAACTGAACTTTGATTGCAAATCTTTGTTGTCAATGACCCATGAAACAGTAAAAGACCAACTTGAGGGTCAGAGACCACACAGAGTTTTCAGTGCTGCTGCTTATTTGTAGACGGAACACATTTTCTCCGGAGTCACTGAGAAACAGAAAATTAGTCATTTCTCAGCGTTTCAGTCAGTATTTCATACAAGGACTTTATGACAGGACTTGACAATACATAAAGATTTCAAAATCAGGTCTCAAGATATTATCTTGTCATTAAAATGTATTATGGGAAGAAGGCTGAATAGGTAGAGAAGTTAAGGTAATGCTAGACATACGCTTCAGCTGACCATTTCATTCCTTGTTCTGCAAGTTACCATGATTCTCAATTCCCATCAATTATACAGCAGACTTGTGCTCCCAGAGACAGCAAGTAGTTACCTGTTGTCAGGAGAGCTGACAGCTTCTGTGGCCCCTGGGCCAGATGTGGGGGAGGGAGGGGAGGAAAGGGGAAGGATCTCCAGCAGAAGGGATGGGGCCAGAGGCAGCCTGCCCTGCCCTCAGTGCTCCCTGGACCACGGTGTGCTCTTCATAGGCCTCAGAACCATGCGGGATGTGTGGAGTGGTGCCCTCACTTCCCCAGGCAGCCCTAAGACTCTCCTGGAACATTCAGTGCAGTGCCGTGGTGGCAATTTATAGGGGAACAAACCGTTTCATACAAAAGTGTCTGCTTTCTTAGAAAACTTCTGATTTTTTACCACAACACTGAACATGTGAAAATTGAACATTTCCATCCAAAACCCAAAGATTTCCCAGTTTGTGGCTGAAAATGTTTAGCCTTCAGCAATTTTAGGCCAAAATATTTTTCAGAATTTTGAATTTGTCAAATAATCACGTTTTTCTGCTAAAACATTCACTAGATTTTTTTTTTTTCTGCTGAGGGAAAAAAACAAATATGACTTGCTGAGAGCCATTCTCTTTCAGGGTGTGTGATAGACAGGAAGAGTGCTGGCCAGTACCAAAGATGTGTTTAGACTACGGCGAGTTTTTTTTTTAAGTGGCCTTTTTAAAAAAAATTTAATCTGAATCTAGACTGTCATTGTGTTCTTTTGAAATTAAATTGAAAGAACATGGAGGTTTTTTTGAAATCAGTAAACCTACTTTTACCAAGAAGAAAGTCTTTCTTTGAAAGAGCCCTTTCAAAAGAAAGGTATTCTTGAACACAAACTGGGCTTTTTGAAAAGAAAGTGTCCAGATTGCCTCGGTGCTCTCTTTCGAAAAAGTGGATCACTTTTTTAAAACTCTTGTGGCTGTCTAGACAATCTCTTTGGTACCCTGAGTGACTAAAGGGTTAAACTCAGGTAACCTGGGAGGTTGGCAGAAAGCCAAGAAAGCCAATGGTAAAGATGGCTGAAATTTAAATTGAATATAGATACCAGGCTGCTGTTTCTTTGTGTGAGTTCTAAGTTAAGAGTTGGAGGAAGCAAAATGCAGTACTCATACTTGAAGTACTGCTCGTGAGTAGATAGAGAAATGTATGTTTTTAGTTGTGATTAGGGTATTTTTCTTTATTTTCTTGTTTGGTTAAACTTCTCTGTGTGAAATCCATTGCCTCCTTCCTCTCTCCACTATACCTAAACTATGCTAGAGATATAATTTTTTTGTGTGTGTTTTAATCTGTTCTTTTTTCAGTTGCTCTGTAACATATCTTTTTGTTCTGTTAATAAAATCACCTTTTAAAGCGATGTTTTGATTCTTGTGTCCTGAAAAGTAACAGGAAGTCCTTCTGTGTGCCTGGCCTGAGAGGTCAGCTATCAGAGACACAGTTTGTTTTCTGTGTTTGTTTCTTTTTTCAAGCTGCCTTTTGGTAAAACAGCTTGGGGTACCCTCTGGGAATACGTTCAAGTGTTTCTTCCTGTTTTTTAGGGTTTTTCTTAATTCACTTGATGATGGCACCCTATCTCCCAGGGCCAGTGAATCTCTGACTTTGGGGAGTTTTTGTAAGCAGAGGCTATAGAGGTAAGGTATTTAAATCTTTTGGGGCACATCTACACAGCAGGGCAAAAGTTGAATTAAGATTCGCAACTTCAGCTATATCAATTGAATAGCTGAAGTCAAAATAGCTTAATTCAGCTTTTGGTGCTGTCTACACATCAGGAAGTCAAAGGGTTACAGATGTCAGAGTAAAAAGTCTGCCATCTCGAAATAATGTTTTAAAATAATGGCTTGTTGTGTAGAAGTGTACTTCGTAATAATGGAGCAGTGTAGACATAGCCTTGAGGGCCCCCACCTTCTGCATTTGGAGGGCCAGAGTGCAGAACAGCCCGGACAGGGTGCCAGATAGCCTCCTAGGACTCCCTGGTGCTCAGGAGTTGAACATACCAAACTATACCTCTATAAGTGAAGCAGCCTTTTCCTTTCTGAAGAACTGGTCTGCTGGCAGGGGTAGAACCACTGTTGTGAAGACTATGTTCAGTTTCAAATGTTTTTAGGAGTCCTGAGCAAATTCTGCACAGTAGATTTGATTGGTTTTTTAAATTATTATTATTATTGTACTATTTGTATTGTTTTTTCTACTAGTGAATGTAATGTTAGTATTTCTCACTTCTCCAATGTATTCACTATTCAAAGTCCTGTTCTGAATGATTGCAGCAAAACAATTCTTGGCTGGTAGACTGTGAACTATTCAGTAAGAGTATCTGAAATTTGAATCTGAGGTGTGTTAGTTACAATTGTTCGAATGGATAAGAATTCTATCTTGAATGGGGCTGCAGGCCAGCAAACCATCCCTATTCAGCAAAACATAAGGGTCCTCTAAAGTCTGTTACTGAAGCAAGGGCTTAAACTTTGCTGCAGAGGAACGGACTTTGGTGCATTGTGCCTACATTATCATATTACTCGGCATCAGGTTTCTGGTGTAAACACTTGGATTTGTTCATTCATAATTTGTTTTTTACAAATATTCTGTCGTCTTTGCTTATACTTTTTTATTTCTACTATTGTAATTGATAGCAAATTAATTCTCTAGATATCTGATAAAAGTGAACACAAAATGGACAAAGACACAACTCTACTTTATTATTTGCTTGCAAGTACATACATTCTGTAAAAAGTGTTGATCCATTGGAACAACCCTAATTTTTATTCAGTTCACTTCACTTTGTCTAGGTCAGGACCTCAAGGCCATCTTCAAATATGTCAAAACTGTACAATTCCACCTTTCTCTCATCTCTTTCTCTCCAATTCTATAATGATGAATTAAAACCTCTCCTTTCCTTGTTTTTGTTCAGATGTTCACCATCTCCTCTCTCCTCAGATGCAGTAAGCTTAAAAGTATCAACTTTTGATTCAGTTCTTGATTTCAAAGGGAAGTTAAGGGGCTGGAAACATTGACAGGACGGACACCCAGGTATTGCTTATCACCGCCAGGATTGAAGAACGGGTACAGCTTTCCCTGAAACTCTAGATGAATGAACTCAATAGGGCACGACAGCTCAACATTATAGAATGTAATCATTTCATCTTCCCAATCCAGAAAAATCCCAACCACTGGGCATTTATCATCATCAGAGGCGATTTTGTCACTTTTCCCATGACAATTGTATTGACCCCCTGAAAACTGCAAACTCCAATATCTCCCCTCAGGAAGCTTCTCAAACTTCTCTTTTTTCATTTTGTCCCTCATATCCTGAGTCAGCACCCCCAGCTCCCAGTACGGTCTGTCCCCCACCTCCACCTCCCAGTATTGTTTCCTTTCTGAAAATCCTTCATTTGCGATCACTATGACTTCTCTGCTGACTTTGCTCTCTGTTTTGGAAACAACTCTATTTTTATCCAGGAGTGAGAGATTGGAGTGTTTACAGTCAGAATCCAGAGTGATGTTAACTGGAGGGAGGAATAAAAATGTTTATTTCATCAGTAACCAGTGACTCTTTAACTCTAACTAAATTACATAAATATCAAAGCAGGCAAAAAAGCAAAGATACTGGAAAGAGAGAAACAAAATATTAAATATTTCAGCAACAAACACTATAACCAATCAGAAAAAATAACAGAAAAAGTAATATATGTAACAGCAAGGACACATAGCCCTGGTCTATACTATGGAGTTATTTCAAAATAATTCCCTTTATTTTGAAATAAAAAGCTGAGCATTCACACTACCAGGCCCATTATTTCAAAATAAAGGCTGAATATTTTGAAATAATAACTCCTGATTTCCACAAGGAATAATGCTTATTTTGAAATAGTTATTTCGAAACAGTGATAGTGTGGATGCTCCGCTGCTGCTATTTCGAAATGCCTGCTCACCAAAGTTATTCAGAGTAATTACTCCCCAGTGCTTCCTGGGAGTCTAAGTCAAGGTAGTGCATCAACATTAAGGGAGCCTTCTTCGGACTAATTTCAAGGCTTCCCTGTAATGTGGACACGCTATTTTGAAATAGTTGTTTCAGGGGTTATTATTTTGAAATAATTTCCTAGTGTAGAAATGCCCATGCAGTCCTGGCAAGTTATAACCTGAATTAATGTTCCTGGCCTATAGTAAAAACCACAGAAAAAGAGTGAGGAAATCTCTGATCTCATAAGACCAGTCATAATGGATTCATCTAGCCTGGTATCATGTCTTCTGGCAGTGATACTGGGCTAGATGTTTCAAAAAGCAATGAATGAAACAGGGCACTTTGGAGTGCTGTCTGAAAACTGGAGATGTACAATTACCAAGAGCATGTGATTGTATCCCTCACCATCCTGGCTAATAGCCATTGACAGACCTATCTTCCATTAAATTATCTAGATTTTTTTTAACCCTGTTACAGTTTTGGCATACGCAGTATCCCTGGCAATGAGTTTCATAGGTTGCCTGTGCATTGTGTGAAGAAATACTTCCTTTTGTTTCTTTTCAATCTGTTGCCTATTAATGTCATTGGATGACCCTGATTCTTGTGTTATGTGAAGTAGTAAATACAATTTCCTAATTTTACAAAATCAAAATTGCATATCCCCACTGCAGGGAAGCCTAAAAATTAGTCTGAGGTAGGGTCTGTTAATGTGGATGAACTACCTCAACTTAGAGCCCCAGGAAGCACTGGGGAGTCATTAATTTGAATTACTCTGGAGAGTAGTTATTTCAAAACATGAGACCAGAGTGTCCACACAAATGTTATTTTGAAATAACTGTTTTGAAATTAGCTTTATTCCCCGAGGAAAGCAGGAGTACAGATTTAGGAATAAGTGGTCTGTTGATTCAAAATGATAGGCTTGGTAGTGTGATATCATTATCTGCTGGCTACTTGGTCCCAGAGACTTAAGATCAAAGGCCCATAGAGTATGAAGGAAAGTTATGGAGGTGCTAGTTCTGAATTAAGGTTGTTATGAATTTGTAATTGCAAGAAAAATACCTGTGCTTTTTGAATGACTGATCATCAATCAAAGACTGAGGCTGTCAGTAAGCTTATTAGCCTGTGGTATTCTGAAATAGCTACCCCACATCTTTTGAACATGTCTACTATTTCAAAATATAGAGCAGTGGTCCCCAACCATTTGGGGTTGCTGGGCGCCAGGAGGCGTGGCCGTTTGCCCGCTGGGTGCCTGGGGGGGCGGGGCCCCCCCATAGCCGCATTCCGGGGCTGGCGCTCTCTCCCTCCCCCTCCCCCAAGCACCGCACGCCCGGGGCCGGCGCTGGCGCTCTCTCCTCCCTTCTCCCCCAAGCGCCGCGCGCCCAGGGCTGGCGCTAGCACCATTTGGGGTTGCTGGGCGCCAGGAGGCGTGGCCGTTTGCCCGCTGGGTGCCTGGGGGGGCGGGGCCCCCCCATAGCCGCATTCCGGGGCTGGCGCTCTCTCCCTCCCCCTCCCCCAAGCACCGCACGCCCGGGGCCGGCGCTGGCGCTCTCTCCTCCCTTCTCCCCCAAGCGCCGCGCGCCCAGGGCTGGCGCTAGCGCTCTCTCCCGCTCCCATGCGCCGCTGGGGGTGAATCCGCGGCGCCCCTGGG